AAGTCGCGTGGAAATAGAATCTGCTTTGGCAGCTGCTGTCTGCAGGTAGAGCCTTGGCCTGCAGCACGCAGGTTACCGCAGTCCACAGCCTCTGCTTGCCTTCGCTGCAGCGATAGACAGCTGGGTTCTGACAAAGCAATGGTTCGTCTGAATTATTTATGGCATGTGTGGTATTCTTCCTTTCGCTGTGATGCATTTAAAGCACGCTCCTTTCTCTCTGTTTAATCCTTCAGAGGAAAGCGTGTAAAATGGAGAGCGAAAGACAATGATAGTAAATATGTCATTTGGAAATCAGCAGGAGGGGAAAAATAGGAAATTTGTTGTGAATGTGTTTTATCTGAGAATATAAGTTCCAGTGTTTTTTCACTACTGCTTAAAATCTTAGATCCAGTATCAAAAACGGCTTGGTCTGAAACCCTCCTAATTTATCGCTGAAGCCATGCTCTAGGAAATCCTTTAGGGATATGAAATCTGTCCCTGTTCCCACAGTACTTAGCAGATGCTTTTGTTCCCATTCATACCTGTGGGTTTGTATTTTTGCCTGGGCGCTGCCTGCTGAACGTGGGCTGAGGACCTTATTCTGTCCTACCAAGGCAAAAGCAGCTTTTCTACAGACTCGTGTAGTAAGAGGAGCTTCACTGGTGGCGTGAACAGGTGTGAAATTATCCTCCTACCCTCCACAATTCCACAGGTAACTGCAGGTGTGGAGTTACAGTAGTTAGCTCTTAGGTTGTGTGTTGTTTCCTGGTTCTTTGGTTTAGTTTTTAATCCCATATTATCAAATTTTATATTATTCCTGGCCATGTCAAAATACTGTTATGTTATCCATATTACTTTGATCCCATGTATCTCTCGGGAACTTGAGAGATTTGGTTGCTGTCATTGCCCACATTGGGGATCCAGTCTGAGTGGTTTGGACTTTAATCTTAATGATGGCAGTGACTGCCACAAAACGCAACCTGAGGTTAAATGTTTTCACAAGATTTAATGTTTTCTATTTGCCGTTCTCAGATGGAGAAGTCCTTCATTTACTTTCATAGCAGAAAGTTTCTTATTGCTTTTCCATCACCATCCGCCTTTCCTTCTTAGCCAGGATACTGAAATTGCAGTTGGCTGATGAGGCTGTTTTTTTCATTCAGAAACAGAGCAAGACTTGGCAATTAATTTCTGAGAGGGCCACGAGATGGTCAGTAGGAATTCTTAAGCAGCTCTAGATCTCGGTTTCTTTGGCAACCTGTGGCAGGCATGTGGCGTGTTCCCTGTCCTCTCACAAGCCTGGTTTTGGAATCCTTTATTGTGCATGGCGAGGTCTGCTCCCTTCCTTGACAAGCACAGGAGAAGGCTGCCAGCCAGCTGCGAGACTGACACGAACGTTTTCAGTTTTCATAATCGCGTCTTTTGAGCAAAACCCCTAGGAGTAAAAAGACTTGAGAAGCTGTAGTTCTACAAATCTGACCATCGGGAGGCTGTTAAACTGGAGGTGTGGGAGGGACGAGGAGTGACTGCTCCTCGAGTCCTGGATACCCACAGCTCGCTCCGTGTCATGAAGCTCCATCTCGGAGGTGCTCGGAAGGGCTTGGACTTGACAAGTAGCCCCTGATTTTCTCCCCTCTGATGATTGCAGGTTCAGCATTTTGACACAGATATAGGCCCTGAAGTGCCTAAAAGCATATTTACCTCTAAAACCCAGAGAGTTTGAAGACTAAATATTTGCTTGGGTAAATAAGTATATACAGGATAAAGCTGAAGAAGGGCCCTAGGTGGGGTCGTGTCACGTACACAGAAGTATTTGGTGCAAGATACAGCACAAGCCATTCCCTCCACTGTCCAAGCCTGCGCTGCAGTGATGGCAGTTTGCTAGAGAACTGCCCAGCAGCGAATTGTAACGTGTCCCAGAGCAAACATTGCTCCAGATAGCATCTCTGAGATGCTTCACCTTCCAGCCTTACCCCTTGGGTGCTGCCGTTACCCCACACCTCGCTGAGGGCAAAGTGTAAAGTCCTGGAGTGAGAAATCAGATTTCTGCTATCACTTTCATATTTCTGTGTACCGAAAGCGCCTTGGGCAGCAAACATCGGGCCAATGCCTGGCTTACGGCTGTGTAGCACGGTGGTCTCCCCTTTTAAATGGAACTAGAGCGGAAAAAGCCTGATCAGGTTCAGATCAGCTAGAGCAAGAGCGACTTTTTATGATGACAGCCTGTAATCGGCACAGGGCTGCTTATAGTAGCTCGCTCATCTGGATTGATTGGGGTGATGACATTCATCGCCTGGTTCGTTTCAGCACGGTCTTGAACATCAACCCAGCCTCTGCCTGTCACAGTAATTGTCTTTTATCGCTCTCGCAGAGTGCTTTTCCCTGGAGCAGAGTCCTGGGATTTTGTCACTACCACAGCAGGGAAACAAGGCTCAGCGACAGGGAGTGGCACTGCCTTCACTGATTGGTTTTTTTTAATTTGGTTCAAAACAAAGGCTTGCTAGTGAACAGTCCTACCTGAGGCCCAGTAAAGAATTCATCACTACAGCTGTCTGTGGCCTCCCAGCAGCCCACGAAGGGACACAACTGACAGCTCTGGCGTGTTTGTCTGCCCTGTCCCGTGCCTTGTTCCAGCTGCTGGCTCTGTCCGGCTTCCTTATAATAGTTGCATTGTAACAGTGTGCTCCAAACCAAACCAAACCCCTATTTTCTCCAGTATTTAGAGTTCTGATTTGCTCCTTGATTGCAACTTTATTTTTGGTTTGAGAAAAAGAAAAGCAAAGTGACCAGCAGCAGTCTTCTAAGCAGCTTCCTTCTGCCTCATTCTTGGGGTGAAATCCTGGGAACTGAGCAAGTGTTTGCTCTCATTCTCCCTGGGTTTCCTGGCTTTGTACCTCTCTTAATATTCCTTTCTACACCCGGTGCGTGCGTGTTGTCAGCTCTGGGAGATCACCAGGGAATGTGTGTGCAGGACAATGGACAAAGGTAAAAGGATGAAATCCTGGTGAGGGTTTCATGTCGGTGTATTTTTACAAATCCTTTTGGGGAGTTCAGTGTCAGCTGATGGACCAGGTGAGCTATGGGTCATCATGTGTGTTCTTATGTCTTTCAGATTCGCCAAAAGGGGTGACCTCAGGGGACCCTCTTGTCTCCCGATTAAAAAAGAAGCAAAATAGCTGTTTCTTCGAAAGTCATTGATACCACGAAGCAAGTATGTAACTATATTTGGGGAAACATGTGCCTGCGATGTAGGCGCCTGCTCTGCACGGACAGGAGGTGGATCTGGGTTCTCGCACACCAGTTCTAAGCGTGGCCCTAATCACTGGGGGTAACAGGGATAACACAGCACCTGTGCAGCTACACAGGTCCTTGTATTCCAGAACTGTGTCAGACCAGCCTACACAATTGTGACAAGCATGGCATAAATTTGTGCATTTTGCACTGTCTAATCGCTATGTGCTCATCCCTTGTAATTCCTGCTAAATATTCCCAGCTCCATGGCTGTCAGGTTGTATCGAGAACCAAAGCTCCTGGGAAATCCTGCTGCTTCCACATACATAGAGCTAATTTTTGAGTTGGATGCAAATGCAATTGGTATTGCTTCAGCTACGCTTGGCATACGTTCCCGAGCCTCGAGATGCAGCGTGACTCGCTAGGGAGCACTGGAGTGCCCGGAAAACCAGCCAGAGGAGATCCTAGCAGGCCGAGCGCTTACAGAAATGAGTGCCTCGGAAGAGGGCTACGTATTGCTTCCGTGCAAGTTTTATACCAGTGCAGTACATGAGAAAAAGCACAAACCACCTGCACATCCCTCTGCCCACGGGCACACTTTGAAAGAAGACTAGAAGGGTGTTGAACAGTTAGAAATGTGACGCCGTTACTCCTCCCATATGGTTTATTGAGGATCTCAGTTGTCAAAGCATGAGTAGCAGTGAGGCCTGTTATTCTTTCCAACATGCAAAAGGCACAAGAAAGTCATCAACATGATTCTGTGCAAAGTGTCTCTAAGAAAACACACAGCAAGGAAATGACAGAAAAGAGCCCCCAATGGAAAAGAAAGCCAAAGTGCCTTCAGGAAAATGCTGAAAAGTCCTGAAAATGGTTGTACTTTTTCAGAGTCCAGATGTGCTCAGTCGGTGAAAGATGCTTTGCAAATCCGTGAAACAGAACACAAGACAGAGCCAAAAGGCTTAAAACAATAATCTCCTCCATGTGCCAAAATTCATGATGGAAGTCAAAATTATTTATCTCAGGAAAAAAGTGCGGCTGTTAAAGACAGACATTAAATTCTTTAAAAAAAAAAGCCCACCAAAACCAGACGTAGAAAGTGGATACATTCTAAGAGCAGCTCAATAAAAAATATCCCTTTTAATCAAAATAATTTAAAAAATGGATACTTGAAGAACACAAATCCACCTTGACTGTGACCAACTACTGCACCCTGCTCCCAGGAAAGCCTCCGAGCACGACAGCACAACGCCTTCTAGAAGAAGAAAGTCCCCGCTACCTGCATGTGTGGAATGTGGCCAATGAACAATTCGGAAACAAATGCACAGGACCGAGTATCCGAGTCCCATTGTTGGACTTGGGCGTCAGGAAGCTTCCTGGGGTTCCCGTCTCTCCCACTGGAGCCGGCCGGTGCCGGAGGCGGCGTTGCTTCCCTGTGAGAACGGCTGAGCCCGTGAACCCCTGAGCCTCTCGCTGGAGTTGAATACTTAAACCTAAAAAAAGGCATTTACAAGTTGACGCATTTTGTTGTTGTTGTTGTCTTATTTCCTTGCAGTATACGTTTCTACTTCTAGACTATGGAATGTTACATTAAACAATATAATTATTCATTACCTTGCTTCAAATTTCATTACAGTTACTGAGGCTTCATCATAATTTCACACAGCACAGACACCAAACTAAACACCAGGCAGCCAGCACTAGATATATTTTTTCTTTAAGTACCAATAAGCAAAATATCCCATTCCCCCCAGAGATCCCATCAGGAAGGAGGCTCCGAAGAAAGAGGGAGGTTTCCGCTTGACCAGCCGGAAGGCATTGGGTACCACTGCGGAGAGGAGCGTGGTGTGTATATCTCCCAAAACTTTCCTGAAGGCGAAGCGTTTCTGTATCCTGTCGAAGAAGGACTGTAGGTTGGGTCTGCTGCCATCTTCCCAGTATTTCTTAGAGAGTCCCAGAAACTTGAGGCGGTGCAAGGTTGCTCCTAACAAGACATCTGCCAAAGTAAAGACACATCCGCAGAGCCAGAGTTCACACTTCTGCCCTGGAGAGAGAAGCGACAGAACAGGTAGGGTCAGAAGCAACCCCTGGGTGGACACCTAAAGGCTTGCCCAAAGATGCACGAAGGCAGGAGTGTTTGCATTGGATCTGGGGTGCTTTTTCTCAGCTCTCTGATGTCCCAAAAGATCAGACCCCATCTACCAGGGTACGTGATGGCCGATACGTGGGGCCACGCAGCTAGGAATATGTGACGGTCATTTATAGCCCACATGAAGATACAAACTGCTGTCTGCAAAATGTTGCCTCTCTCCCAAGTCAAGAGCAGCAGGAGATGGCATCCTCCCATGCCCAGGAGGTCCCTGGAAAAGAGCCCTTGGCCCCCCCTTGAAGGAAGGTGTGGTGCAGTGACCCTTTCTGCTGTGTTAGTGCTTGGGGAGAGCAGCAGCCTTTGTCCTTGGCTGCGCCGCGAGCTGTTTCAGGAGTGTCAGGTAACTTGTCCTATTTTAGGGATGTGAGAAATCCTCGGGAATTAAAACCATTTGCTGGCTGTCCTGGCTGCTCTCCCTCTGTGCTGCTGGGGAGGTCCTGCCTCTGTCCTCTCTCCAGCAGTGGGGACACTGCTCCAGGACACCAAAACTGGCAGCGTGTCTGTGCGAGTGCCAGGTTTTGGGGGAGGCAGAGCTCAGTGTGAATGCTGGGCTTGAAGTGTTGATGGCCCCTGGTAGTGAGTGACCCTGGATATAACCTCACCAGAGAGACATCCAGGAATAACCAAGCTGTCACTAGGCTGGAAGAAGTGGGCTTAGGCCAGGATAGTGTTAAATGCTCCCCCAATGTCCTTTAATACTGAGGAGCAGGGCTGGGATGGAGCTAAGGGAGATTGTGAGAGGTGCAGGTAAGGAAGAACAGCAGCAAGGGCACAAAACCTGGCCCCATCCAGCCTGGGCCCCCGGCTTTGCACCAAATCCTTAATTCTTGGGCTTTTCCACTGTCCTGTGGCTGTTAGATCAGGGAAGGAGAGAGCGGCACCTTTATTGCACCCCTGGGCAGGCACTGGTGCTGCCTGCAGGGCCAGGCCAGGGGAATTACTGGTAATTAGCAGCCCTCATTTGTAGCCACTTGGCAGCCTGCCTGATCCTGGTAGAGGCACAGCCCAAGTGGACAGATTGCCTGTTCCTAATTAGTCAATAAATGTTTTCAGTGACTAATGAATTGTGGGGGTTCCACAGCCCAAGCCTCCTGGGTGCTCTGGGGACCCTGAGGATGCTTTGGCTCAGAGGTAAGGGAAGCGGGGCTGAGGTGCCTGCCTCCCCCCGGGGCACTGCTGCGGGGGAAGGAGGAAGCGTGTCTGAGGATGGCGGCTTCGGGAGAGAGCCATGATCCGGCACGAGCCCTCCTGGCTCTGGGCTTGCACCCGCTGCTGAGGTCTGGACCTGGCTGTGGGGCGCCCTGGGGCAGAAGCACGGGCAAGGGCAACTCATCCCTTTGGCATCTGCAGCAGCCCCAGCTCGGACCAGCCTGAAAAAAAAGGGCGGGGGCGTGTGCCCGCTGCTGAGATCCTGACCCGGCCGCGGGCGCGGGGGGGGAGTGCGGGGGCCCGGAGCAGAGGGCAGGAGCAGCACGCAAGGACCGCAGGCAGCGGAGCGCCCGGGTGCCAGCCGCAGCAGCAATCCCTCTGCTCCAGGCACCCAGGGTGTCCTCTGAAGGCACCTCATTAGGCTGGATTCTGCTGAGCTACCCCAGCTCTCGGCTCAGTTAATGAGGGTGGAGGCAATTAGGGCAATGCAGAATGCTGCTGTGAATGCATCAGGGCTCTCAGCAAGTCCCCAACCCGGTGCCTTGCAGGGCCCGACCTTGGCACCTCTGAGGGCCCTTTGGGGTGGCCCCAGGCTTGATGCACGGCTCCCCACGGCCGAGACCAGGCCTGAGGGCAGGGCCAGCTGTGGGGCCATCCCCTGATTAACTGCGCCTGGGCTCTGCTCCAGACCTGGCACCGTGGAGCTGGCAGCCGCTAGCCCTCCTGGCGCTGGGGCTATGAGCCCTGCTGGCAGCGAGGACGCGAGGATGATGGCGTCATCCTGGGGCGACGGCGAGACAAGCGATGCCCAGCTGTGCCCATGCATCCCTGTCTGCCAGGGCACCGGGGTGGCTCTCGGCAGGCACCCAGCGGGATGTATTTGATGTTGGGGATGGCTGGTGTCGCTCTCTCCCACCTGCTGGCATTTGACGCAGGTCCTATGAAAACTCCCACCCTTCTGGGGCCCCTCAAATTCCCGTTGGGTTTCCCTGCCTGTGCTCCGCTGGGATGTGCCGCAGCCCCGTGGCCAGGAGGGCTGGCTGCAGGACACATCCCCAGCCCAGCGCTTTGGTCAGTCTGTGCTCCTCGTGCTGCAAGAACCCGGGGCCAGCCTGCTCCTTCCTGAACCAGGCAGGGCATCAGTTACTGGTGGCCACTTGCTGAGGCAACAGGGACCTGCCACTGCCCTGCAGTGACTCTGGAAGTCTCACAGAGCAGCCATGAGGACAGGGGTCTTGCTGTCCCCTGTGGCAATGGGTGTGGGGGCTACCCAGAGCTCCCCAGATGTTGGCAAGACCATGACTGCAATGACATCGGTGTGTTCCAAAACAGGAGAGCCCAGCAGCAGCCCCGGCCCCACCGACAGTCGCCCAGTGGGGGACGTTTTTCAGGTTCAAAGCCGTCAGCCATTCCTGGTGTTGCACCAGCCTCATGCAGAAAAACACCCCATAAATGCAGCCCAGTGCCTACCTTGGTACTCCAGTTTCCTCTTCTCCAGCTCGGCCTCAATCTGGTCTAGCACCATCCCCAGCTCGCCAAGGATCTTCTTCAAGTAGTTCACGTTGTCGTGCTCCAGGATCTTGGCCTGGGTGGAGAGCGGGGTTAGGATGGATGGGTGGATGGATGGACACGGATCCTTGCAACCGTGCAGGGACATAAGGCTGCCCGTGGAGGGTCCATGGGTCATGTCGCCCCACCACCAGAGAGAGGAGTGTATCTTTGACCCACTTACCATGAGCTTCTTCTGCTTGGAGAGGTAGGGCTCTGATAGCTGCGGCTCCTCTTCATGGTCCAGCTTCATTAGCTCCGTGCTGGCGTTAGCTAAATGTCCTGGGGAGAGACAGAGAGAGGGGCTGGGGGGCCTGTGTTTGGCAGGGGTAGGGATGATCTTGTATCTGGTAGCAAAGCACCTCGTCCTGCATGCAAAATAGTATAGTAGCACCAAGAAAAACACCCCAGAGAGCTAAAATGGGCCAAATTCATGGCTTGCTGCTGCGATGCTGCCATAGGGCTGGGGCATCGCACACTGTCCCAAGGGCATGGGGCTTCTTCAGCCCTCCCACCTGCTCTCAGCAGGGCAGCAATGGCAGATCTCCTGGCTGTGGCAAGTCTCAGCTCTGTGGGTTTCAGGGAGGGCTTCAGCTCTTCATTTCCTCTGCTGGATTCATGTTAGAGCTGCCAGCAGATCTCTGTCTCTCTCTTACTGTTTTAAGAACACCCCTGAGCTTCCCCATAACCTGCTGCCTGCAGCTCCATCCCCAGCAGGTCCGATCCTTTGGGATGTCCGAGCCGGCTGCCCACACGAGGGTGTGTGCACAGTGCAGCATGGCAGAGCGCGGCACGGAAGGTGATGCTCCCTCCTGGATGAAGCTGTCCTGCCCAAGCTCAGTGTCTGGGAATGCAATTCGGTAGCATGGAGCCCACCAGGAGCACGGGAGAGATGTCCACCTTCCTCCCCCCCAGGGCTTGGGGAGGACGCGAAGGGCTTTGTTCAAGGGAGATAATGGAGGGAAGGGAGAAGAGTAAATGGAAGAAGAGAATGCGAGATGCACCTTAACACCTAGGGACAACATAAATTACCCAAAGGTGGGCTAATCTCTTCCTCTCCCTCCTTGCTCCCTCCAACGAGGGCTTGGCTCTGCTGATGCGTGGGTGTAGAAGGTGCCAGGGCGGCAGCCAGCAGCGGGCTACATGCTGCCACAAAATGGTGAAACTCCCTGTTTTCCACCACAAGCCTTGAAGCCCGTGCTCACTAAGGCTCCCAGCCAGCTCTCCTGGGGCTGTAACTCAGAGGGAAGCCTGCACATCACCCTGGTTTTGTTCCCCTGTTCCCCTCGGGAGAGCTTGGCCATTGGTTCACCCTCTCCTTGGGACACAACTATGTGGCTCTGCCTCAGCACCGACTGCAACGGGGCACCTGAGCCATGGTGTAGAGGATGTGCTGGAGAGGAAGGGCACCACTGGCACTGGGGAATCCCACGGACCTGCCCACAGCCCCTCCGTTGCAATGGCTTGGGACAAATGCCACCAGTGAGGAGGTTTGGACGGGGCGATATTTTTAAGGACCTCAGCAGTGTGCTGGGGAGGTGAGGCGAGGCAGACAGGGACTGAAGCCATCACAGCAGCGCTCTTTGGGGAGGGGACAGGCTCTATGCCCTGCGTCTGTCCAAGGGGGTGGAGGTGGCACTTGATGGCGTGGGGAAAGCCACCTGTGCAGGGTGCCAGCAGAGGCAGGGCAGACCATGAGATACACCTCAGGAACTGCCTATTTCTCTTTGAGGCTGAGTGCATCCCATTTCAGAGGGAGCCTAAAGGAGGGGAGAGGCGGGGAGCATGCTGGTGCCCTCCTGACAAGGTCAGTTTTCTGGTGAGGGACTCTCCAGGAGCGACCCTAGCCGTGGAGCTATATTAGGCATCGTCAATGTTTCATGAGTGCTTGAAGGTCATGTACGCAGTCTTATGCCGGTTCGCCCACTATCTGCAACTCGATGTGGCTGTAGTCACCCACCTTTGCCCTCAGAGCTATGGGAGGGAGAGGGGACTTGCTGGAGGGGGAGCAAATTCACGTGCTCTAGAAAGAGCTGGGCGAGAAGCACGCATGGGCCATGGGAGCCTGGACACCCCAGGGCTAGGAAACCCCTACAGAGTGCCTGCAGCTCCCAAATTAGCTGTGCTTTGCTGTTTCCCAGCTCTGTCCCTGCCTTCGTTGCTGGAAGGGGGAGATGAGCAAGAGGAGGGTGGCTGGCCAGGCTGCGGAGCCAAACAGAGCCTTAGGGAAGGGCTGCGGCAGCCGTCCCACGGGCACCAGCCCTGGAAGCCCCGCTGGAGAGGCGACTTACTGCGGATCTCAGCGGTCGCGTACTTTGGGATCATGGAGTCAGTGGTGAGCTCGGGGTGCAGGATGCAGCCGTGCGTGTAGGCGTCCATGGGGAGCGAGTCCAGCAGCTCCCGGTACTGCAGCACCCGCGAGTGCAGCAGGCTGCCCGGCTCCGGGATCAGCTGGGTGACGTTTTCTGCCAGGGCAAAGGGAGAGCTGTTAGCAGGACCCTCGTTAGCCTGCACAGGACACCAGTGTGCAGGCCTGGCCTGAGCTACCTCCGAGCAGGGACTCAAAACCATCCTCTGCGCTCAGCCCTGCCCCCTCCCCGCTGCCCATCCCGGCCAGGAGCTCGTCAAGCCCATGCCCGGAGACGGGCAAACCCGCGGGACGCAGGGACGTGTACGCGTGCCATTACCCAGCCCCGCAGCCCCAAGACCCCAGCGTAGCAAGGCCTTCGCCTCTGCAGCCCCTGGATTTGTATGCTGTGGTTTCACATCTCTCAGAAGGGGACCAAAATCTTCCCATTGTGCAGAAAAGAGCTAAAACACGGGGATTTGAGTTCGGAATCTCCTCATTGCACCAGTGGCAACAAGGCACCTCATTTTCTTGGACTTCCTTGAAAATCCCATTCAAAATGAGTGATCAGGGAGTAGATGACCAAAGAAGGACCAGCACATCTTCCCTCTGTGCTCAGCTGACGCCTCAGCTGCAGGAGCATCCCTCGCCCCGGCCGGCTCCTCCTCGCCTTGTTGGGTTTTATTCATCATCTGTGGATAGCAGTTTGCATCGTGCTCTTTTTATTACACTTTCAGCTCAAAATACACAGCAGATGAAAGCACAAGGAGAGAAATGTTGCTCTTGTCTCCCCCAAGAATATCAGGTCCATTTTTTTTTATGGGACCATAAATGTTTATGGCATTTGCAGATAGCAGTTAATAGGTAGTGAGTAAATTTACCACCGAGACACGGCAAAGCCGGCTGCCCACATGCCATCCGCAGTGCAGGGCTCACCGCACACCGGCATCTCGGGCTGGGTGAAGGCATGTCGGCAGAAGGGCTTGGGCAAACACGGCCAATGTGGCTCCTTAATTAAAGGTCTGAAATGATGCCCGGGCCCACTGCCGGCGGCAGGAGCAAGGCTGCGGGCAGAGCTTGGTGATACTGGCCTGGCATGGACGCACAGCTCGCCCTGCCCTGGGCCAGGGAGCACCTGGACAGGAGCCAGGGAAATTTTGGCAGCTCCTGTATTGCAGACCTCCTAAGAGCTTCCCTTTGGGGCTGTCTCTGCTGGTAGGCTCCACAGAGTTGCTCTGACCGATGGACATCGGTGTTACCATCCCCCGAGTCCCCTGAGCGAGGGGAGGTCATGGTAGCTCCTCCCTGCCCGCGGGCTGCTCGCTGCCTGGGCTCCAGCCATCCAGGTGGGGATTTTCCATTTAACAAAAGCAACAAAAGAAATAATAATAACCAACTTATAGCCTGCGTGCTCCTTCCACAGGGCTCCCGGCCAGCACCCGACGGGCTGGGGCTGAGGCTGGAAACCAGCACATCCAGAGTGACTTCCCTGTCCGGCAGCGAGACAGAGCGACCGCAATGAAATAGCGGCGTGCTGGCCGCCGGCCCGCGTCCTTCGGCACATCCCAGGGAGGCTTTTTGGTGGGCAGGCGCTTGTTTTGCCTTTGCATGCCACAGCAGACCTGCACATACGGGCTGCTGTTGCATATAGTCAGCAAGAGATGGGCCGTGCAAAGGTGGGAGGGGGGGAGGCTCAGAAGGACAGGGCTGGGGGTGCAGCCCTTGGAGGAGCCCCTCGCCCAGGCTCTGGGACACATTGCCGCTGGCCAACCCACCAGTGGTTTCTTGGCGCTACTGGGCCATGCCCTAGAGAGGAGCATGCTCGAAGGTGGCTTACTGGGACTGTTCACTGCTTTTTGGGGAAAGAAAATCATTGCTCGTCACACCACCCTTTACTGATAGCTGATCCTCAGGGAGTGTGTAAGCAGCTGTAAAAGGCCATGCTCCCAGCCCAGGGGAAAATGCAACCCAGTGAATACACCTTCTTATCGAGGCATTTCCAAACTCCACAGGTTTCTGCCCAGTGGGTGACTCCCCTTTGGACCAACGTCACGGCATCCTGATAGTGCTGTTGCCAGCTAGCGTTGGTTGGCGATGGCTTGGGGCAGAGCACGCAGCAGGGAGTGATGCTCTGGGCTCTCTTCCCTGGAGCTTCCCTTCTCCATTTCTCCTTGGAAAGGGAAGAAATTGCACCTGGCTGGAAAATCTCGATGACAGGAGTTTCCCAGTGCACAGGCAGCGCTGTGTCCCCCTCCCGCCGGGGACAGCCTGTTGTCACATATGCCGGACCACCTGCCCTTCGCAGAGACTGCGGAAAGCTGCTGCGCGATTGCGGGGACCACGGAGCGATGCTCCCCACTGCCCCTTGGAAGGAACACGGCTGCCATTCCCCGGGAGCCGCTGCCGGTGCGGGGTCCCCCTGTCCGATCCCATCCCTGCTGCCCCACCGGCGAGCGAGCATCGTGCCTTCGCCAAGCAGCACCACCGCAGCGGGGCCGGGAGAGGACAGCAGCTGAGCTGGCAAGATGCCCTTGCTTCGGGAGCTATTTTTGAGATGGTTTTGATGTCTCTGTTGCAAGGGGGATGGATGGGTGCCAGGGAGCGGCTGTTTGCCGCAGCGGCCCTGCGAACAGCCGCCTTCGAGCAGCATCCCAGCAGCCCGGTGCGCTGGGCTCGGCCGATGCTGACTGCAGCCCTGCTCCGGGGGGAATACACGCTTCCCTCTCCACGCTGGCCCTTCTGCTGGGTTTGTGTCACGTCATCCTCCCATGGTCCCTGGCACTGCTGGCGTTGTGTGACTTGAAGGACGTGGTTTTCTCTGTGGCACAGCTGCACCGGGGACAGCAGGGTCTCTTGCCCATGGCCGGTGGCACAGGGCTCATCGAGAAAGGGGCGAGGGGCAGGAGCACCCGGCTCAAACCCTGCTTTCTCTTGGCAGGGACACTTACGGCAGTTTTCATATCATTACCCGAGGCCCAAGTACAAAGGTGGCCAAGCCCAGAAGCATTGCCATGCGCCGTGCCCCAGGCGCAGCTCTGCTCAGATGCCACCACGCACCATGGGGTTTGGGAGTGTGGCCTCCCAAAAGGGGGAAAAGGGGGGACCCAGCTACGAACCGCTCCCCCTGAGCCCCCCAGCAGCACTTCCAAAAGACGTTTGGGGATTTCTGCTGGAAATCCTTCATTTTCATGGGAAAATGTAAAAGTTTGAGGAGGGCTGGTGGCTTGCTGCTCTTCTGGGGTAAAGCTGCAACTTTAAAAGACAAAGTGGGTGCATTTGGCAAACAGCATCTGCATTAGACCTGGCTTTCCCCGAGACACAGCCCAAAGCCCCCCCTTACCTCCCGTGAAGTTCTTCTCCATGTAGTCGATGATCTGGTTGTAATCGCTGATGATGTTGTCCCTGTGGATGATGACGGGCACCTCCTCCCCTAGGTTGAGCCGCATGAACCAGGGCTCCTTGTGCTCCATCAGGGGCATGCTGACGTCCCGCTCCTCGCAGGGCAGCCCCTTCTCCGCAATGACCAGCCGCACCTGGGCAAGAGGCCGGGGAGAAAGGGCTCAGCCCCGCGCACCGAGCCCGTCCCCGGAGCCCTCAAAGCAAACCAGCCCCACCGTCACACCTCCCTGGCCCCCCCTACCACGTAAGCACAGCGATGTGCCGTGACACACCCTCGTCCTGCAAGAAGCCAAGCAGCTCTTGGCACGGCGCAGCTGCAAAATCCAGGCAGCCAGGCAAGGATTTGCCTTCCTGGCAGATGGGGTGACCCAAGCCCATCCTAACTTTGCGGGATCATGGACCATCCTCCCTCTGGTCGCTGGTAGCCCACATGGCAGGCAGAGGGGTGGAAGGGCTGGTGGGCTGAGGGCCCATCCCTCGGTAGCAGGTGGAGGGAGGCGGCAGCTCCCCAGCTGGGGGGAATCAGTGAAGCTGCTGTGGGTCCCAGCATAACCCAGCACCCACCCGAGGAGGAAGAGGAAGAAGCAGAGGACACAGCAATGTTATTCCTTGCACTCAGTGGGTGCTACTGCCCAGCTGAAGGAGGTCTCGATGCTCACCCAGGTATGTCCCATGCTTGGGGGTGAGCTGTGGTTTCACCGGGCATGTTTTGAGTGGGGAAAATGTTCCGTTTCATGGAGGGTTTCAAGCAGCCCCAGCACAGCATCCATCCTGCTCCATGCTGCCGCCGGCCCGTGAGCACTGCCCACCACCTTCACACCTCTTGTGCCAAACCTGCTGCCTTCCCCTGCCCTCCTCCAGCCCCGGGGCAGGGAGCAGCATTGCTGGAGCAGCACCCACCCGAGTCCGGCGGAGCGGAGGGGCAGGAGGAGGCGGGAGCGGGGCCGGACGCAGGGCACCATCCTCATCACCCACGGCTGGCCCGCGGGGCTGCTCCTGCTTCTTTGCTCTGCGCTTGAGATGGTGTTGAATATGCACTCAGGGGTGGTATTTTAGGCTTCCAGGTTATAAAAATCCAAGTGTTATGAACTAAGTATGTCAAACAGGCAAAAAAAAACCCTTGGGGGGTGTGAGAGAGCCACACTTTACAGAACCACTGAAAGAGGGAAAAGCACTTGTTTTCCTCCAAGAAGCAGCAGCTAAAAATACAACTTAACAAATATAGGCATTTCTATGAGTACTTCAGAGTTCCTGGGGAATTAGTCATTAATTATTTACAGGGCTGGCAAATTAATTTTTTATTTTAATGTCAAACAAGGAAAAGCCTGGGTCTGTCTGCTGCAGCTTGCTCTGGGCCTTTTCCTCCCAGCTGACGGACAAACCCCAGCCAGGGCCACCCAGGGCCTC